TCTTTGTGGCAGCCCCTGAGATATTGGAACACTGCTATCATGTCCCCCCTCGTCCTTCTCTTCGTTAAACTAGACATACCCAATTCCAGCAACCGTTCCTTATATGTTTTAGCCTCCAGTCCCCTAATCATCTTTGTTGCTCTTCTCTGTACTCTTTCTAGAGTCTCAACATCTTTTTTACATCATGGTGACCAAAACTAAAGCATCATGCTGTTTGTATCTTCTTGAAAAAAAGCGTGTTTTTCTAATAGGATGTTCTTATGGGACCATGACACAAGCAGTAACCACATACAAAACAGCATGTTTGGTGGGGGAGGGGGGGGAATCTTAGAAGCTCAGCATAATTAACTAGAAACCAAATAGATGGGTACTATTGTTATGACTGTCTATGGAGATTCTCAGTCACCCAGGTCATGGTTATTCCAAAGGTGCTTTCTTCAAGAGGCAACTGGACTTTCTTTGTTTTTCCTTGAAGACATTTAACTTCTTACTCAAGAAGCTTCTTCAGTTCAGAACTGAGCTTCAAGAAGCATCTTCAAGGAAAAACAAAGAAAGTCCAGTTGCCTCTTGGGGGGGGGGACATATAGTTACGATTGTTGTTGTCCTTTGCTGACAGTATACATATCTATTGTTACTATTTCCAGTTGGGTTTTTTTTTAAAGTTTCTAACCTTGTTAGTTGCCCAAAGTTGCTAAAGTTACAAGATAAATGGCCATATAATAAACAAAGAAAAGGTTAACTCATGCATTCATGTCCATATGTTTTAGAATTTCCAGACCCCAAACATCTCCACCCTAATTCTATACATCTGAACATCCCCCTAAAGGAAGGTGTTTAGCACCAAAAAAATGATACATTCTATTTATGAGAATTTACAATCATTGGCTAGGGCAGTGGTGGCGAACCTGTGGCACGCGTGCCAGAGGTGGCACTCAGAGCCCTCTCTGTGGGCACACAGGCCATGCCCTGGAGATGGCAACCGTCCCTCTTCAACCAGCCGCCTGCTAACTCGCCAAAGTCCCACATGGCCGGATGCATCCCAGCACCCATGCGCTCGCTGGCCTCTGTGTGCAGAGGTCGATGGTGTCAGGTAGCAGCCGCCCCTGCCACACCTTGCCCTGTGACAATGGCACCCCCGCCCTGCTTCGCCTTGCCTCGCCTCACCCCGCAGGACGAGCCTCCTGCCCACTGCCCCACCTGGCAGAGACCCCCTGGATCTCTCCCAACCCTGCCCAGCCCCCACAGGCGTCCCTCCCCACGAGCAACATCGAGGTGATCACACCCACCTTGGCCACTCCCACCCAATCTGTCATGACCACCACAGCCATGCCCACCCAGTGGGCCATGCCCACCTGGCACCCGGCGATAAATAAGTGGGTTTTGGGTTGCAGTTTGGGCACCCAGTCTCTAAAAGGTTCTCCATCACTGGGCTAGGGAATAAAAGTTGTTTGGGGAACTTTACTTTCATTTTCAGGATTCTAATCATATTCCTTTCATATAACCACTTTTTCTATTATTGCAGAATAGATTATATATTTACACTATAGAAGGACTGATTCAAGAAATAAACCTTCAACTGTGAAGTGAGTTTGTCAGGGTCAGTCCTAAAAGTATTGTATGATATTATATACCAATATTCAGGTAAAAGTAAGACATGTGGAGCCAAATAGAGAAATACGTTGGACTCCATTTCCAATGTTACTTATATTGGCACCTGTTTTATATATATAGTGAAATTACTAGCAAAGTCCAGGGGAACCTCAACTTCTGTTAAAGTAATAGCTAGTGGAGTAAATTTATCAAAAGACATGTCATGCTCTATTTTCTAAAAAGAAATAGAATAATTGGCAAAAGAATTCACATGGAGTCAATAGAAAAGGAAAAAGTCACACATAAATATAAAAAAGTAATAAAAACACAGCTTTATCTGGATAGATCATTTCCTACTTCAGTCTAAGAAACTATTTTTAAACACTCAAAGGGACAGAAGTGGGAACTGCCCTTACAGATCCATGGAGAAATCCTTTATTTTAAATACAACCCTGTCTATATAAATTTCAAAACAAATGCAACTCAGTGTTCTAAAACTGCTGGAGAGAAAGATTATTTAAGAGTCACTTGTAACAGCAATGTTCTGTGTAGCTCACACTGAAAATTGATATCATAGCTCAATATGTTTTATAAGTACTACACTATGTAGAGACTTCATCTGTAAAACATATCCTATCTATTTCAAGTATGAATGTCTATCATAAATCAAGTTTCCGGATGCCTAAGCATGGTATGTAACCACAAACCTGCTTTCAGCTAGGATCTCTGACAAGTGCCTGGCAAAAATCCCTTCAGATATTTCAAACACTTTAAATAGTACACAGACTGAATGTTCTTCAACTAGTCTAACAAAAAGCAAGATGTTAGCATGTGGCAGTAGAAACTTTGTTTATAATTTGTTGGTCATTAGTAAAAGAAGTAAACCATAAATAAACTTCCAAGAATGTCATTAATTTGTGTTTGTTATTTACAAAATACCGAGTGTTACTATGGTACTGTGATTAAATAGGCCTTGTTTGCCCACTTGCAATCTCAAAATTAATGCTTTAAAAATAATGGAATTGTTTAGACTGCTCTTTAGAAGGTCAGATCCTGAAGTTGAAACTTAAGTATTTTGGCCACCTAATGAGAAGGAAGAACTCACTGTAGAAGAGCCTAATGCTGGGAAAGATTGAGGGCAATAGAAGAAGGGGACGACAGAGAATGAGATGGCTGGATGGAGTCACTGAAGCAGTAGGCGTGAGCTTAAATGGACTCCAGAAGATGGTAGAGGACAGAAAGGCCTGGAGGAATGTTGTCCATGGGGTCGCGATGGGTCGGACACGACTTCGCAACTAACAACAACAACTTAGACCCCGAAAGCTTTTTGAACTATATTATAAATCAGAATCATTTCATCTTCTGTTTACTCCTTAATAATTATGAAATCAAACAGCCTTGGGCATTTCATTCTGCCTTGCCTTTTCAAATTTTTAAAAGTATATGTTTAAGTCACAGAATGGCAAGAATCTGATTAGTTCCTTTTAAAATGAATTGGAACATCAAATGCAAAAATGTCCAAGCTAACTGGCTTCATTTCTAACTCTAGCAACTTCTCAAACCAAAATAGAAAAAAATAATTACTACATTTGTGTGCATCAACATTTTATTGTCTCTCTGTGTGTATGGTTATATAATTTCCAGAGCCCTTTGTTTTTTAAGAAAATATATGGCTGCACTGTACTGCAAACACCACAGCAAAATGCCAAGAAAAAAATCTTTATCGTACAAAGTTTCTTATTTGCAATAAAAAGATATCAATGTATCAGACTCCTTATTATGTATTATAAACTGATCGTTTCATTATAATATACAGGTAAATAGGCATTGTTACCAGCTTTTTACTAAGGAGGGAAGGTTCACTAAGCTGTGTTTCTCTGTCTCAAAAAGGTTTAAGATGTGAAGTCTTCAACTACAGCCTGAAGACTTCTAGAAATGCCTTACAATGCCTTGGTAAGGCCACACTTGGAATACTGCATCCAGTTTTGGTCACCACGATGTAAAAAAGATGCTGAGACTCTAGAAAGAGTACAGAGAAGAGCAACAAAGATGATTAGGGGGACTGGAGGCTAAAGCATATAAGGAACGGTTGCTGGAATTGGGTATGTCTAGTTTAACGAAGAGAAGGACAAGGGGGGACATGATAGCAGTGTTCCAATATCTCAGGGGCTGCCACAAAGAAGAGGGGGTCAAGCTATTCTCCAAAGCGCTTGAAGGCAGGACAAGAAGCAACGGATGGAAACTAATCAAGGAAAGAAGCAATCTAGAACTAAGGAGAAACTTCCTGACAGTTAGAACAATTAACCAGTGGAACAACCTGCCTCCAGAAGCGGTGAATGCTCCAACACTGGAAGTTTTTAAGAAGAGACTGGATAGCCATTTGTCTGAAATGGTATAGGGTTTCCTGCCTGAGCAGGGGGTTGGACTTGATGACCTCCAAGGTCCCTTCCAACTTTTTTATTATTATTATTATTATTATTATTATTATTATTATTATTATTATTATTATTATTATTATTATTATTATTTGAAGTCCACACATCTTAAAAATTACTGAAATTGAGAAACACTGCACTAAGCCAATCAAAGACTTGACACCTTTTATTTCTATATTTATAATAGGAAACAGTCATAAAATTACTTCACAAAAGTTTGGTGTCATCTAATTTTAGCTATGCAATGGCAAAATGGATTTTGGAAATTGCAAAACATGTTTGAAGGCTTACTGGAGTGTCCTCAGATGGCCTATGCCTATTATATACAGGGAACAGCTAGCAAAATTTCAATACTTTCAACTGTAGAAGATCTTGGTGATGGAAAGTTAAATGCAAATTTTTTTTTCTTAAAAAGGAAGAAAAGAAGTTAGTGAAAAGAATGGCACAAATCACTGCCACAAAGAGAAGATTACAAGTAGCCACATTTCAGGTATAGAAAAGCGGTCTGAGAGAATTAAGATGACCCAATTACTGTGACAATTCAAAGAAAGTCACAATAATCAAGACTGAAAATAAGAGGATGAACTAATGGTTAATAAATCAAACTTTTAGGGTGGAATAAAAATATACTATAAAATTGAGAGGAAAAAGATAAACAGCAACTTTACTGTAGTATAACAAAGTGATGTTGAAAAAGCTGAGAAGGGGGAAGAATTTTTTTTTTTTGAAGAAATGTAATGAGGTAGAGGGGAATAACAAACACCAACAAAAGAGGGAAGGAGAAAATTAAGTACATGCAGGAAGTCATTGATTTGCTATATAAGATGAGGGCTTAATACTAAACCCGTAAAAGCTTTACACCAAGTACCTTCCCAAACATAATTGTTTGTTCAATCCTGACTGCACACCATGTACTGTATCAGCTGATATCTATCCACAAACAAGAAATACCACAAAAACTGGGTGGGGGGAATTGCAAAATATGCAACACTGGGGTGCAGCCACTTAGCATGATCTTGTTCCCATACTGAGATAAATACTTTGTATACTTTGGGAGATGCAGACCAAAATATCTACAAGACACCAAGGTGGGGAAGATCTGAAGAGGTTTAATGTAAACAGCCATGCTGGTGTTCATGGAGAGACTGCAACTAAGTCATCTTGTATGGCATATTGAAGGGCTAGCAAACACGTAAAATAATATTTAAGGATGATATCGCTGAGGAAAACATACAAAGCAGCACCAAAATACTAAGAAGTCAGAAATTACTAATCAAATGTATTATACAATAAATGTCCAAACAATATATAGAGAAAAATGAATACTTGTAGATCTGCTGCAAAAATATCACTGAGAAACAAATCGGAGAAGCTCTGTAAAATGAAAATTCTGAAAAGACAATCAGAATCTGTTTATGAGATCTAAGAAGTAGAAAAAACAAGGATGGAATATACTTCAGAATATTAAAATGAAAAATGAAGTGATTAGGGCTATGCAGTGATTCAAAACAAAAAGGTGCTTTGGAACTCAAAGGGCATGCTCTCCCCTTTGTTACTCCTTGTTACTCCTTAAAGTAACAAACACCCCCCTCCCCGTTGCTCCACGGTCTCAAGAAAAGAAGGATTCGAGCAACTGGTGACAGATGTTTTGTGGACATTCTGCCTGCTCCAAAGCATTTTTGTGGCTTAGAATCCAAAGGTCTACTCAGCCCTAGAAGAGATAAAGGGGAAGAATGGATAAAGATAAAGGGGCAAAGGCTGGAATATGATAAACATGCATAGGTGACCAAGAGAAAAAAAAAAAAGAACTGAAGACAGGCCATGAATGTGCAGTGGAAGGAAGAACTGAGAGAGTAAGCAATTTTCAAAAAGAGAAAGGGACTATCAAGAGGAAGAAAGAACATATTCTCATTGGAAGAGAGGAAAAAGAAACAGAGAAAATCCGCTTATGGTAAGTTATTGATCAACAAAGACAAGAAGAAAACAATGTGCCCCTTCACTGAAGGAGAGGAGGCCCTGCGTGTTCACCAGTGTATTTTCATTTCAGAATCTTACTAACGCCAATAGCAGTATGGATGTAATTATATGGGATAGGGTTTCTGAACCTTGGCAACTTTAAGATGTGTGGACTTCAACTCCTAGAATTCCCAGGTATTCTGGGAATTGAAGTCCATATGTCTTATAGCTGCCATGGTTGAGAAACACCAGTACAGGAGATCTCTGTGAGGGAATATTAATGTACGGACATACATACATATGATAAAACCAATAAATATCAATCACCAAGAGGAAGGTAATAAATAGTAAAAAATTTAATGAGCCGAGCTTTCGTTGGGCCCACCCAACATCATCAGGGCTTTAAAAGTAGTCACTGGGAAAGAGCTTTTATAAGATGTTAACAGCCTGCATCTTATAAAAGCTCTTTCCCAGTGACTACTTTTAAAGCCCTGATGATGTTGGGTGGGCCCAACGAAAGCTCGGCTCATTAATTTTTTTACTATTAATTACCTTCCTCTTGGTGATCGATATTTATTGGTTTTATCATGGATTTACCCAAGAGTCGAATTTTTAGCTTTATAACTTGTTAATACATACATATATACATAAATACAGAATATTAACATATCCTATATATTTTTACCCACTCTTTATATTTTTCTGCGTTCAGTCATGATTCTAAATATTGGTAAGCTGTCCTGGAAAATTTTGGTTTGGGGCATGTATTTTTAAAACTAATTAAATATAGTGCTGTGAAAGAAAAATTATGAGTGATCAATATGCACCCACCTGTATATTTTCTTCACATTCCTTTTTATATTTCCTTGGAAGAGTCTCTACTTCTCGAATATCTTCCAAAGTAACTTGTTGTGGAAGGACCTCAAATAAAGATGTCAAATACATGATCATGGATTTCTTATCAGGAAGCTGTACAGCAACATCTGAAAACAGAGCATATAAATGGGATACTTATTTGATAGCTGTGCAAGATTTCCAGGCTATATAGTTATGACAAAGCCATAAAACTACACTCATTATCTTCAAGTCCATATCCTCACATTAGTTCTCCCCCCACAAAAATATAATAATTCAGCAAAGCAAGTAAAAAACATGAACCACTAAACTGAGAACCATCACTTCTCTATTCTCATGCTTTTACCATCATAACTGTGCTAGCAGATGGATTTAAATCAATTTTTAAAAAGCACAACATAAGTAACTGCGGGATATGCAAACTATCTATTAATGTTTAAACACCCACAACATGGACAGACAAACCTATTTCATGGCTTGGACCTGGGCCCAATTTCATTTATTTTTAAACTTTTTTGACCACTGACAACCCTAAATAATTTGGCTAGCAGTGTGGCATATCACTATAGTTTCCAATCTGCTTTTCACTAAGTGGTTGGTGTTTTAAGAGAGATTAAGGGATAAAACATGAATGCGACTATTTTGCTTCATTTTGTGAAGCAAAATGCTATTTTGTTCATTTATAGTTTACAAATGCAGAGGACTAGTCAATATGAGAACTATGTGTCCATGAAGTCACTAAGAGTTAATTTCGTCCTGATGTTACTTAACTAACCATTCAAAAGTCGTTAAAACCGAACAAGAATAAGTCACTTTGCTATTGAAATTCAGCTGTATAATCTTGTAAGTGTTCTTAAAATCACACAATTGTGCTGCAAAGCTGCATAACCCCACAGGTGAAGGGTCCCTAATTTCTTATCTAGAGCAACACTGCCCCCTTTCATCTCTGATATTCTCTACTTCTAGTAGAAAGGAATTATATAGCAGTTATATTATCATAATTGTACCTTCAGGATCCAGCAATTTTTCTATTCCCAAGCAATTTTTAGCTATGTTGAAGGCATGTTCTAATCTTTCGTGTGGAGCCATTTTGATGACCTTATCCCAGCGGAAGAGCTCAGGTCTAAAAAAATTAGAAGAAAATTAAGTGAATTTAAAAAAACATTCACACTATAAACACTTGTATGCATTACATATAACAATAAACCCAAGTAAATAGCTTATGGAGACATCAAATTCCATACAGTTGCTGATATTTTGTAGAAAGAGAAACAATGGGAAACTACATAACCATTCCCTGGAAATGTAGGCCCCATACTTTAATAAGAAGGCTCCTTCCAAAGAGCAGACTTTCCTAGATGTATTATTTGTTTTTTTCTTCACACTTAATATAAAAACATGGAATTAAGAGTTTGGAGGGCCAATAATACAAGGTGCTGTAATATTCAACAGTGCCTATGTTTTCATAAACACTAAAATGATGGCACTGAAGTACATGTTATGTATAATATGTAATATGTAGCTGTTCCTGTTCTTATTAGAACCCATGTACTGCATGCTGCGTATGAAACGGAACATATTTCAACCATTAAGAATAATTTCAGAGCTGTTCAACTGATTTCAATGATGCCTAGTCCAGATTATATTTACAAGGAATGAGGCCTATGAATCCATATACCCTCAAAAAGAATAATTTTGTTTATGCAAGTAACTGACGTAGGACTTCAATTAGCACATCATTACATTATCAGATTTTCAAGGAAAAAATGTTTATTATGTCTTTCCATGTGAAACTAGAAAAACAGGTATTTGCACTTCATGTTTTCCATGTTTGTTCTTAAAAAAATCCCACAAAAATGATGTTTATTGCCTTCTCACACAAATTAGAATCCACTCTATTAAAACATGCTCTGCTTTCTTTCTACTTAACCTGTGCCAAATGGCTTTAAAATCATTCCAAGCTTTATTTATTGAAAACTACAGCTCTGTAAAAAAATGCTACACTGGCAGCTTTCTTTCTATCATCCCTAGAAACTGTTTTGTTTTGTTAAAATTGTCCAATTTGAAGCAAAATACCCTTTCCCCTCCAATATGAAAATATTACAGATACTGGCAAGCAGTCACCTACTTATGCCTGTGGATCAATGCATTGAAGGCAAGTCCATTTGTCCAGCTGGTGGTGAAATTCAAAACATTAACTTCATTATATGACTTTGTGGACTGCCGCACCCAGCTCAACAGGATCTTTTCACTATTGGTTTGCTGTAATTCTGACATTATATCTTTCATTACATCTTTAACCTAAAAAGAAGTGCCCAAGGTCAATAAAAAAGAATTAGAAGGACTCAAAAAACATTGTCTCAATCTTAGTATTCAAACAACACTGCAAAGTGTTGAATATTAGAAATAGATATTAAATTATGCCATACCACAGCAAATGAAGACTCAAAACATTCTTATCTAATTACTCCATATACTAATTCTTCTGTTTTATTCCTTAATCTAAGTTCTTTGTATCCCTTAATGAGGTTTGTACATTAAGAAAATTCTACCCTGGTTTCCAATCTTACACATCAATGTCTTCCATTAGCCATGGAACCACATTGAATAGCTTTCTTGGAAATTTCTACATGGCCCAGAACATAATCTGATGAGAAATGGTTTCTTATAATTAAAATACAGATGAATTTTTATATTTCATTAGAAGTGTTTAGGATGCCATCAACTGAAAAAGCAGTAGAATTTGGAGGCGGGCAAATTGTTTCATACACAAACAAATCAACCTTGAAGCATCCTATTCTGAGTTTACAACAAATTGTTTTGACCTCACTAGAAGTGTTCAGAGACGTTCCATCCATACCATAAATATTTTGAGCACAGAATACTTCTGAAACAACATGAAAATGCTTCCAATAAGATCAGAACTGGCGTACTGAACTGAAAATAGCATGTTTCAAATTTAAAACATTTTCTACCCCTAGTATAAACCAATCTTGAACTGATAAGGTCTGACAAATAGCTCAAGTTCCTTCTTTAACAGTTGACTTACATATATTGACTTACAAACCAAAATTAGAAAAGTAACATGGATTTAACAAATCAAAATTTATGTTCTGTCCAATATACCTAAATTTTAGATAGAGATTTTCTAATGCAGGGCTGTTCAACTGGTGGTACGCGTACCACCTGTGGTACATTAGCATGTGGCAGGTAGTACGCGGCCCTGCCCAGCCAAGTGTAGTGGGGGAGGGAACGAGCCAGCGCAGCGCAGGACTTACTGCGAGAGAGTCCTCCGGAGCTGCAGAGTGGCTGGGGTGAGGCAAAGGCACCAGGCTCATTTCCGGCTCACCCGGATAAGAAAGGAGGAGGAGGGGGGAGGAGACAGGAGATGCTATAAAAGAAGGCAGTTTGGGCGGGAGAGGGAGAGAGAAAAAAAGATACAGCCTTGGGAAGAGGCAGAGTCAGCTCTAGTTGCACCGAAGGGAAAGAAGGAGGAGGGTGGGGGGAGAGGAGAGGAGATCAAGCAGGTCGGCCATGAGCCGATCTACAACTTTTATGGCAGCCATCTGTGCTGGCAGCAACCAACAGGCAAGAAATGCAGCAGGGGAGGGGTTGCCCTCCACGAGGAATGAAGAAAGGCAGCATCGGCTGGAGGTGAGGCACGGAGGGAAGGAGATGGAGAGTGGAAAGATTCTTATGTGCTTTTGTGACTTTGAAGTTCTGGGATTTGTGCAATGTGGGCTTTGTGTTCTTAAGGAGTGTTTGGCAATTTCTATTTGGCTGATGGCTGATGTCTCATGTTAGCTTCTATTGCTCTGCTATTATTAGCTGTAAGTTTTGCTGCAAGGGATTTTGAAGTATTTTTCTCCTGAATGGATTTTGCCTGTAGCATTCCTTTTCTTATGAATGGAGCCATTTGGGGAGGCTGCCTTAGCCAACAGCCAGTACTTACTACATTTTTTTTCTTCCTTAAGTACCGGCTGCCGGCTCCTTAACTTTCCTTTCTAGCCAATAGCTAAAGGGGAATGCGCCTTTTTAAGCTAGTTCCCTCAGCAGCTTTTCTTTCTGTCTCTGGAGGCTTTTCCTTGTTTGATGAATATAAGAGGGAAAATATTGGGGGGGGGTTTTGTTCAAATTCTTCCTTCAGAAGGAGATGGGAATGAGAAAGAGGGACAAAGGGAAGGAGGGAGGGAGGGAAGGAAGTCCCGCCCTAGCACTTGGCCACCAGCAGCCCCTGCCATTGACTTTGCTTGTCAAAAGGTTGCAAAAGGGGATCACATGACCCTGGGACACTGTGACTATCATAAATATGAATCAGTTGCCAAGCATCCAAATATAAATCACATGACCCTGGGCATGCTGCAATGGTCATAAGTGTGAAAAATGGTCATAAGTCATTTCAGTGCAACTGCAACTTTGAACAGGTTTGGGGTTTTTTTGGTCATCAAGTTTTTGACACCTTGCTAGGTGGTACTGAATATTGCCATATCCTTAAAGTGGTACAATCGGTGAAAAGGTTGAAAAGCCCTGCTCTAATGGACTCAGTGGTAACCTATAGAAATCACTTTAAATACAGTAGATCCCATCTTTATCATATACATAACATCTGGTTCTAATGATATTTCCAGCCCTCATTTCAGATTTACATAAAAATGTATCCTCCTGACCTCTTCCATATATGAAGTAAAGAAATCTAAAGCAGTAGTTTCCCATGTCATTTAAACAAAGGGGCAAACAAACATTTCTTATGTTGTCTAAATGGAGGAAATTCTGATTTATTCAAATTATTAATTCAAAATCTAGCATGCCAATTCTTAACTTTACCTCAATTTTTAATAAGTTCTACTTTATAAATATTACATTACATATGAGACACCATAAGTTACATTATTATTACATGATCTCACTACCCCTCACAAACCACCTGTAATGTCCATATAGACCATCTGTAGTTACAGACCATAGAATGGAAATCATTGTTCTGAACACAGCACACAAAGAAGATGGAAAAGGAAGCCCAAAAATGTGAGTTTCATACTCATTTCAAACCAAAACCTATAGATTAGCACAGGACACAAAGGTCTTTATACGTGACATCTTGGATAGAGTGCACCGGCAAGAAGGGGATCGAATAACAAAATGTGCATCATGATATTGCAATGTGAATTCTGCCATTTTAGCACAGGATTGGCAATGTAGCACACAGGTATGTAAGGGATGGAACTGAAAACTCTATAACCGTGGTGCAGAACCTATGGCACACGTGCCACAGGGGGCACGCAGAGCCCTCTCCGTGGGCACACGCACCGTCGCCCCAGTCCTAGGCCTTCAGCTGGGTTTTATAAAACCTTTTCGCTTTAGGCCTCCACTGCCGTGTGCAAAAAAAAAAAGGTTCAATCAATTTCAACTTCTTGCGGGGGAAAAAAGATCTCGCAAAGTTGGAATTGATTGATTGAACTTTTTAGTCCCACCCAGTCTGCCGTTACCACTGCAACCCCGCCCACCCAATGGGCCACACCCACCGAATGGGCCACGTCCACCCGGCACCCAACAATACATAAGTGGGTTTTGGGTTGCAGTTTGGGCACTCGGTCTCTAAAAGGTTCGCCATCACTGCTCTATAAGTAGTTTCACACTATGTTTCAAGTCATTGCTTAGAGCAGTGTTTCTCAACCTTGGCCCCTTTAAGATGTGTGGACTTCAATTCTCAAAATTCCCCAGAATTCTGAGAGTTGAAGTCCACACATCTTAAAAGGCCAAGGTTGAGAAACACTGGCTTAGAGTACTCAGAATTTCAAGACTGGTTGGTCAGCTGCTATGAAAGTTCTATAGCATCTCCAGCTAATACACAATCAATGCATTCTACTGCGAAATAATGATTCACATTATTCACATGGGCTGAGAAAAAGCATCAAATCTGCTCACCTGCCAGTGCAAAATTATACTCCATAACAATCCAAGTGTCAGCTTGTGATTTCCATCAACAATGTCTGTCCCTCCTATGTTCACCAGATCCACCTGGAAACATTGTCAAACAATGAAAATGTCTTCTTAATCAAAGGCATGCATACTTTGAAGGAACTAGTAGAAAGTGGGTAATAGAAAACCAATGGCCTATCAACTGTTAATCTACTAGAACTCTCACCATAGTTTCTCACATTCCTGGAATCAGCTGTGTAACTTACCATTTAATTGTAAGTGAATAATTCAATTTAGCCAAAATGAAGTAGCTAATTACTATATAATATTCTGATTTTAATATACTGACAGTATGATGATCAATTCAAAGGAATTGATTTTCTTTAAAAAAAATTACACCAGCAGGAAGATGAAAGTGTGTAATATAAAGGCATAATTAATTAATAGAATATAAGCAACTGGCAGTTGTAATCAGGAGGGCTTTTGCACAACTCCAGGTTGTGAGTAAGTTACACTCTTTCCTGAAACAATCCTTACTCAGAGTTACCTATGCTCTAGTTGGGTGGCCATATAAATTTTCATAAATAAATAAATAAATAAATCTATATAAAACTCCTAATCTTTCCATTTTTGCAAAAAAAAAAAAAAGTTCTCATGCTATCAATGCAACCTTTCCATTGCAAATATTTCCAAACTTATTGCTGCAACCACAACATTATTATCAGTAATAAGAAAACAAAGTTTTTACATTTTCCCATAAGAAAAGTTCAGTTACTGAATCAGACATCAGGAAAGACATGTGCTGTGATTGCGTTTAATTCTGCAAATGAAGTCAAGCTAGTATCCAAGTCTAAGAGTAGGCAATATTTAATAGGGTAATTATTTCTTACAAGCCAATGAATCAACATCATCTCTATGAGTTTAATGCACCTGAGAACAGACTGAGGTCTATACAAACAAAATTATAATTTGGCTCAGCTACACAAAATAAATATTTCCAACTATAGCCCCTTAGGATCTTCAAGAACAAGAAATACAAGTTCCTTTCTTAAAGTAACAATCATGCCATATAGCACGTTTTGTTATCTTCAAAGCACAAGCAACTAGGAAAATTGAAAGGAGGCATGTTAAGTTGTACAAATTTTAGTCCACATACCCCTTCTCAAAGACAGAGTTTTCAGAAAACAATTTTACAATTATCTTTTCCTCTCACATTTCAAGGAAAGTGAGCAGTTTAGAAACTTACATTGTTCTGATGTAAAACCTGGAGTACTTTGTTGACATTATTCAAAGCATGGACTCTAGTAGTTCCACGTTCTTTTAGCTTGCAAAAAAAAGAAAAAAGAAAACAATATGCAAATAATGATAAATGTCACAATTAACTTTTCAGGAAAAGCACAGTTAAAACGATGCAGATTTTGGAATATTTACTCTAATTGAACTGAATCCATATACCTTTCCTTTATCCAAGTAATAGGACTGCAACACCCAGCAGTATGCATTATTTTGGAAACATGCGTCAAAACATTTAAAGAGCAATACTGTACAAAAAGTATTACACTGTAGCGAACTTTAGTTATGTGCATACTTTTTCTCTCTTAAAGCATGAGTTTAGCAAAGAACATTTTACAATTTTTGTTTAAAAATTGAAAGCTGGTGTAGAAACAGAATTTACAAACCATGTATATCAATCCTCTTGTTAATGAACTAAATTCAGTGTGAGTAGACTTTTATTTCCAACAGTCCAAGAAATAGGAGTTTTAAAACCTTGACATTTCATCTTGTTTCCCACTGAGGATACTAAAGTTAGCTAAACTAATTGTCACTGTGCAGTATAGACCAGAGTTATTCAACCTTGCTAACTTTAAGATGTTTGGACTTCAACTCCCAAAATTCCCAAGCCAGAATACTGATATTGTAAATGAACAACAGCATAGTACTTTAAATTATCTTTTCAAGATGAGGATGATAATAATGGCAATTACCACTTACCAGTGGCTTCCCTGTTAGCCCTTCTAAAAGATCTAAGAGTTTCCTCCCATCTCGAAGATCTGTGAATATATCCTTTATTGGCTGTTTTCCAAACTATAAAACAAGATACGTAGTTTTTTTAAAAAAACAACTTCTAAGTCCATAATACAACATAAATAAAAAGATAAACTGTAGCCAGATGTCATCTTGAAATACTATTATCTACATATGTTACAGCATTCCAGATTTCTTAGTGTGATTTTTATAACAGGACTGTGCTCATTTTTTCCCCACATATTCCTATTCCCTAAGATGGAAAAGAATAGCACCAGGAGAAAATTGGTACCCCAGGAATGAAAGAGAATAACAGGTTTCTCTTGCAAGGAAATGCTTTGGGGAATTTATTTTAAATACATGGAGACCAGAAAAGTTGCTGTTTATCTAAAACAACATCCATGCAACATCCATCCAACAGCCTCCATCATTATACCACCACAATATCTGCCTTTAATAGGTAGAGAGCAACTATATGATGAAAAACTAGACTTTAAGGAAGGAAATCCAGCTCTCCCCTGCTGAAGTGAAATGCTAACACAGATGGAGCAGATAGAGATAGTCCTCAACTTACAAATATGAGCCAGCAGTGTGCTGCAGCTGCCAAAAAAGCCAACACAGTGCTGGGCTGCATTAACAGAGGGATAGAATCAAGATCACGTGAAGTATTAATGCCACTTTACAATGCCTTAGTAAGGCCACACTTGGAATACTGCATCCAGTTTTGGTCACCACGATGTAAAAAAGATGCTGAGACTCTAGAAAGAGTACAGAGAAGAGCAACAAAGATGATTAGGGGACTGGAGGCTAAAACATATANTGGAACAACCTGCCTCCAGAAGCAGTGAATGCTCCAACAGTGGAAGTTTTTAAGAAGAGACTGGACAGCCATTTGTCTGAAATGGTGTAGGGTTCCTGCCTGAGCAGGGGGTTGGACTCGATGACCTCCAAGGTCCCTTCCAACTTTATTATTATTATTCCTTAACAGTTCATTTAGTGACTGTTCAAAGTTACAACGACACTGAAAAAAGTGACCTATGACCATTTTTCAACTTACGGCCATCACAGCATCCCCATGGTCACATGATCAAAATTCAGATGTTTGGCAAGTGACTCATATTTATAATGGTTGCAATGGCCCGTGGTTGTGTGATCCCTTTTTGCAACCTTCTGACACGCAAAGTCAATGGGGAAGTCAGATTCACTTAACAACCATAGCAAGAAAGGTCGTAAAATGGGAAAAAATTCACTTAACAACTGTCTCGCTTAGCAACAGAAATTTTGGGTTTATTTGTGGTTGTAAGTCGAGGACTACCTGTAACAGATAATTTCAAAGCTTCTGTTGCAAGCTGGCCACGGAATGAAATGTAAGGGAGAAAAGAGAATAATTCGGGCAATGTCATTTCCAAATATGGAAATGTCCTACTCTAGAACTCTCCATGAAAAAAAAAAGTTTCCAGTTTGAGATGAAATGATAAGGTATAAAAGATAAACAAATATTTCCCCCCCAACCCTCATTCCCATCTCAGATTGTCATCCTCTGTAGCCTGAGCAAGCTATATCTGGAAAGATTAAGTGCTACATTATGCAATAAGCAAGAGCTATTTAGGAACTTGGTTCCCTTCTGCATGTCCTTCTTCAATAAGTTCATGATTCAAGCTTCAAAAAGCCTACTTTTTGTAAATAAAGCTCACAAAGGATGCATTCTTCTTTTGGGGGGAAAAGTCTATTACGCATAGCTTGCGCTTTTTCGCTTGCTCCCACCTTTCAGCATGAGTGTTTCCAATCTATCACCAGTTTCTGTTTTCCTTTCTCTATATTAATGCCTTCTAAGTCATCCAACAACGAATTTAACACAAGGCAAAGTCAGTTTGAACTCACACACTCTCAATAGCTGAAGTTTAGACAATCAGCTTACAAAATATCTTAATGCAGAAATACGACCAGGTTCTGGAGGGAGATTATTTAAACTATTGTTGGATGAGAGGTTTTTTTAAAGTTTTATTTATGGGAAGCATCAGTGATGAATAATTTGAAACTCTTTTTTTATTTAATATGTGTCTATTCAGGCAGAAATTTCAGGATCAGACCTATCTGGGCATAGTCATGGCAAGTCACATGAACTAAGTGATGGAATTGTATAAAAGAGCTTAGGGAAAAGGTTTGAGGATAGTAGTCCAATAGGAATTTGGATATTAAATTGTACTAGGAACCTCTAAGTCAGACATGTCAAACACAAGGCCTGGGGGCCGGATGCGGTCCGCAAAGTGGTTTCATGTGGCCCGCGAAGCCATCCTGGAAACAGTGAGGCCAACTAGGAGCCAATGTACAATTTTGTGGTGGCCATCTATGCTGAAACGCATTCAGTCTTAGCTCCATAAGCCCCCCCTGCAGGGCCTGAGAGGAACAGTGAAGCCATGTCAGTGAAGCCAGTGGACCATGTCTTGGCACTTGCCCTGGTCCCACCCCCTTCTGACAGAGACTCTCAGATCTATCCCACTCCTGCCCAGGTCCCCACAGGCACCCTTGTCGCGAATGATGTAGACTGGCCACACCCACCCAGTAGGCCACACCCACTCCATCCACGCCCACCCAATAGGCCGTATCTACCCTGGCCACACCCACCCGGCCCCCTGAGGGCAACTGCAATGCTAATGCGGCCCTCAATGAAATTGAGTTTGACACCCCTGCTCTAAGTTTTGGATCCTAAAATATGTTCATAAACTGGAAACAACCATCATATCCACCAATACAGAAAATTTAGTCTTGTTCCCTAATGGCAGCAAAAAATGGATGTGGAAGGCTAGAAAGACTGTATGTATTCAAAGAGTACCTTAATAAAGCATATTAAAAAGGGGAGAGAATGTAATTAAGAGCTTTAGCTCTTAATTACATTAACTTCCTATCAACTTATTAAACTTTCCTTCTCATCAACTCATAGGAACCAAACATGAAGATTGTTGCTACTAGCTATTTACTATTCAAGAAAGGAAAGATTTCCAGTACATAGATAGAAAACTAATTTCTAATTCATGTTCTGTATCTAAATATGGTACTTGGATATCTTGTGTCAAGATTTTCCATTTGATGTACCCAAAGCATGAGAATTTAATGTGGGAAACGATTGACAAAGCAGAAAGGTCACTAAGCAAGAGAAGAACAGTTTCAGTAAATAAAGTACAGTGCATTTTGCCAGCATCTAAATTTAGTGCACCATCTTAAATGAGAAGTATTTTATTGTGGTTTTCTAGCTGTTTATTTTTCTGCTTGAATTCCTGTTTGCATTCCAGTTATTCAAGAAAGCAACAAATTAAATGTTGTTGAGGCTCTGGAGGAACTGGATATTTGCTCTTTGATATACTTGTGACCAAAACAAAAACAAAAAACAGTTCATTAGTTTATTTACTTATTTTAATGTAAATACAGTACAGGAAAAAGTCATATATAGTTGATTACTTCTAAAACAGAAATGAACAGCACCAACTATATTTACTTCCATGATAATAACTAAGTGAAAACAGCCCTACCTTTCAAAATACAGTTTAAACTGAAAACAACCTGATTTGTAAGGAATTACTATTCAAGTGAAATCAAAGCTCTCAGAATTAGGTTAACACAGTGTCTAGTCCAATCAAAATTATGTGTGTCCCATTTGAAGAGTATGGAAGCATGTCCTGTATTTCTTCATTTTATCCATAATAATTTTGAAATTGTACAGAGAAACCTCAGTTCTAAATAGCTCACACAATGATGCCCATTAAAAAGCAAATCCATATGAGCTACTTCTGGGTATCTTTCTCTTTCTGCAAAATCATTTACAATTAGGTTTTAATACCAGAACTCCAGTTAAAGATTGGCCACAAAGCAGAATGTAAAAATATGATTTCAAGTCCATTTGCAAATTATGAGCAAAATCCCACTAATTTTTCTAGCTGGTGAAACAAACAAGAGGCGTGAAGGCTAAACATCCCTAGAGCAGCTTGGACACTTCAGGGTAAAGAAAAAGTGTACCCTTATGGTAAACTCATTTACACACTATTAATTGTTGAATTATGACTTATAATTTGAGTTTAATCCAAGTTAAACTATCTTTTAACATAAAACAGAACAAAGAGGCTTTTTGGGTAGTCATCTATGTTTTATTTCACTCATTTCAAAAGGTGATAACCTAGGTTTTCTGCACTGAAGCAGATCCTGCATTCCTGCTGTCAAATCCTGCCCTGGTGTCTTCACTGTTGATGAATATTAAGCAGCATTAAAGCAGAGGAGTGCAACATCTCCAGCTGAGGGCTGCACCTGGCCTTTGACTGATGTGCCAAAGCTAAATTTCAACAAGAAGACAGAGAAGCAGGTGGACCAGCATGTAAACTAAATGCCATTTAGTCCCTACTAAATTATACTTAAACAACTTTCTGCATCAGGATCTTTCTTTCTTTCTGGAAGCCAGAACAAATATATTTGTGTTTTAAGGAAGAATAAAGTGATATACTCAGAGGAGACCCAAAGAACTTTTCCAATTTATTTGTTGAGTATCTACGGTGGTTATAGGAATTAAGAGAGAGGAGCTGCTATTTATAATCCAATAAACTGTTCAACAGGTGTAGTTCACTGCATGTGCAGAAGGGGAGGAAGCAAATATTATATTTATTGCTAATACAACCAGTAAACCTTGACTTACAACCACAATTGGGCTCAGAACTTCCATTGCTAAGCAAAAACCATATTCGATGTGCTATTTACAGTAAGCTGTAGGGCATAGGCTACTTTGAGACATAGTGCCATCAACGCTAATATAATATCTAACATATATAGATAAAAAATAGGGAGTGCAAACCCCCAACCTTAGATTTGTGCTATCCAAATTACAGCTACATTCAGTCTCTAACGTATGTCCACAACTGAGCCCCAAATTTCTACTTCTAAGCAAGACAGTTGCTAACTGAATTGTGTTCCCATTTACAACCTTTTTTGCCCCAGTTGCTAAGCAAATCCTTGGAGTTGTTAAGTGAATCATGCTGTGGTTAAGCAAATCTAGGTTCCCCCACTGACTTTCCTTGTCAAAAAAAAACAGCTGGGAAAGTTACAATTGTGATCACGTGACCCTGGGACAGTGCAACTGTCATAAATACAGTTGTCAAGGGCCTACATTTTGATCATGTAACTAGGGGAAACTACAACGGTTGTTAGTATGAAAAATGGTCACAAGTCACTTTTTTCAATATGGTTGTAATTTCAGTCACTAAACAAATGGTGGTAAGTTGAGTATATCTGCTGTCTATCTAAGTCTATCTGTACTCAGGAATGCTATAAAGTCAATGCATACAGATACAAGCAAATCTACAAGGGAACGTCCTATACAAGTTACCGAACCTTGCATTTAACTGAGGTCTTCCTTTTGGATAAAAGGTCATACTGAACACCCATACCCACATCACTGGATATGAAATAACTTTGTTCATTGCTGGAAAAAGCAAAAGATTTACTTTGGAGTTGCATTTCTGACATTGGCTGAAATCCCAACTCAGACTGCTGACAATGCCACGCTGCTCTGAAGGGGATTGTAGTATTTTTGCATGCGGCTTTTAAAAGACAATGAATCAAACATTTGTTTGCAGAAAGGTCAGAATCTCTGGAGAAGGTTCTGCCAACACAGGCAGCTTGCAAGAAACATATAATGTACGCAGTCTATTACTGGGCCCTTTACAATGAAAGGTATTTCAAAAAGTTATGCATTAACCAAATCCTGCAAACTGGAGCTGGGGAAAGAAGGAACTTGGTGGCAAAGAAAATGGCCATTTTAAAAGGGTGATTAGCACAATTAGGTTGCAGCTAATATGAAGCCCTTTTAAAGGAGAAATAGGGAGAGAGCAAAACAAATATTGCTTGGGATCTAGACTTAGAACATATTTTAATCCAATACATAACTGAAGATGCTATGTTTTACTGAACATAACTTAAGCTAGCCTTTTTCAACCTGATGCTCTTGCATGAAAATTCAATACATCTGGTAGGCCAGGGATTAAAGAAGAGCCACTGTGAGCCATCCTTACCTTCGAAAAACGAGTGTTTATCCACTTGGTGAAGGTTTTCTTTTGTACATCTTTGTGTTCATCTAGAAAATAAGACAGTTAACAAATTTAAATATTGTTCTCATTTTTATGCAATGGTATAGCTGTCAAACTTTTCTTCCAGGAAAAGTTATCAAGAAAAAAACAGAGGTTCATCAGAATATGGAGACATGGGGTAACATTTTAGAATGTGGTTTTCAAGCTATTTGATTTTTATAATTCAAGGATAATACATATCCCTATCAGTATGTAAACTGAGTTCATAAAGGAAAGAAATAAGATAGTATTTTCTGCACCTGCTGACCAAACGTTTTCTTACAATTTTCAAAAACAGTTAATCTTTTCGGAAGCAAATTCTGAAGACTGATACTTTATGAAGAGTTCATACAAACTAATTACTAAGAAAGAGTTTTCAAATTCCTGAATTTTACTGGGCTAAAATGTTTCAGACCCTGACACTCTTAACAGGCAATCAGAAAGTCCTCTTAATTTTCTTCCACAAAGATAATTCTCTTAATTGCTTTCCACAAAGAAAGGGGATAGTATTTAAGAGATATCTGGATATTTCACCTCTTCTTCTCTGGATTAAACATTGTTTCCCCCCAAAAATGTGATATCAAAGTTAGATTTCCCTCTATTGAAACAAAACACCGAAATCAATTGTTAGGCTTCTGTTTCTTCTTTGCTTTGGTTCGTTCCTTTTACTTTTATCAAACAGAGGTTTGAGAGGACTAATATTGCTTATTTCAAAATGTGCTTGGAACATCAAATTCATTCTGACATCATCCATTATATTAAGACACAAAGGTCAACATTCTTTTTCACTGGTTCTTAAAATTCCCCTTTCCTTTAATTGCTTAAGGAATTTAGAAATAAAAGTAGGAATTAGCCTGTGGGTTTTCAATCACAAGACCAAGAATGCTGCAGAGTAACAAGCTTCCATTTGCTTGCCTTGGGATTATACTGCTCTATCTATATGCACCAACCCTCACCCCAGACTGTCCAGGCAGAACTGAAGAATTGAACAGCCAAGTTATTCATTGATTTTTATACATTGCCTCATTAAAAAATCAGTCATCCATAAAAACATCATCTAACAAACATAAATAAATCACTGGAGAACCATCATTGCACATCCAAAAGCTTGTGTGAACTGTCTCAACATGCAATTTAAGAGACAGCAGGAGGGATTTTAAGAGATGCCTCTAGGCAGGGAATTTCACAGTAGTAGAATTGAGAAGATCCTGTCCTATAGAGCCATCCTTCCCACACTGGTGACTTAATGTGTGCAGCAGTTTAGTTCTTTTTATCTCCAACTAAAACAATAATCACATTATTTTGTTGCAAATGACAAAAACCATAATCCAATAAGAGAAGTTTTAAGAGACTATATGATATTTATCTACAAATATCGAAAAGGACATAATGTGCTTGTAGGAGCAGACCTTGTCCTATGTTGGAACTGAGAAGAGTTCAAAGACTAGCAGGGATTCAAATTAAAAGAAAAGAAATTTGGCCTGAATATTAAGAAGAATTTAATGATAGTAAGAGCTGTTAAGTACATCAATGGTAGATCCGCCTTCACTAAAAGGTTTTTAAATGGCCATGCTGATGATGATTTTGTTATCCATTCAGTGTGTCCGACTCTTGGCAATTCTACGGGCCGATCTTCCGATTTTGCACTACTTCTTTGAGTTGTTCTATACCAGGGGTAGGCAACCTTGAAGTCCACGAGTCATAAAAGAGCCAAGACTGCCTACCCCTGTTCTATACTCTGGCTGGTGTCAGATTTGATAGTGTCCAGCCATTGTGTTCAGTGGCCTGGTTTCCTTTTACCACTAACTCTTCTCAACATAATTGCTTTCTCTAGTGAATTCCCCCATATGACATGGCCAAAATAAGTGAGATGCAGTGGATTCCTGCGGCAGATGGTTAAACTATATAGCCTATAGTAAAATGCAGCTCATGCATTTTACAATGTCAAGCCTAGGGGATAACAGGCCGGGGAAGGCTACTGTACAACCTTCCATTGTATTCAAAATGGAAATGATGCTCTTAATGAACAATTATGAAACATACATAAGAGAAGGCAGTCTGCTGTTTAAAACATTTAGTTCAGGAGCGGAGAACCCACAGCCAACCTTTAGATATAGGACTGCTGAATTCTAACCCCCCGCCCATCACTTCTAAATGGATCAGTTAGTGGACAGGGACAAAGACAGCTGTGGTTCATCGACATCTGAAAGTAATAACTTCTGAATACCAATAGCTCTTTCTACTTTAAACATTTCTTCATCCAGATGAAACAATAATCTTTTACTTATAGTTTTGGATGGCAGCTATAAGAAAAGCCTACGCAAAAAGATTGTGGGCTGGAAAAGCAATGCTAGAAATCAAGCTCACTGCCAAAAAAGAAAACCCCACCTCTGCATCCAGCAGAGCGCTTCAGTACATTCTGATAACAGGAATTGAGTACTGACTCCCTTCCTCGTTGACCGCCATCACAACAGTAACTTTGGAGAACTAATTAGCCCGCTTCAAACTACAATATATTCAACAAAATCCTAATGGGTGAGAAGCCCAAAACTAAATTCATTCTCCTCTCTTTGTTTTCTCTTTCCCTGATATGTTTTTCTTCTTTGGGGAGACTTATTTAAAGTCCAATTTGCCTTATAACTTTCAAGGCAGACAGGTTTAGTTTTGTTTTTATTTTGTAAATTGTTCAGACAGCCTTTCGAACTAGACGGCAGGATATAAAAGTGAGGCATAAATAGTTTAATCAAATAGTGATTGCAAAGTATAAATAATAATGAATACATAAACACACCCACATGTCCTGGTATTTCCACAAACCCTTTTTTGCATAAAAATGCAATAAATATTAATAAGTTAGGCAATGTCTTTTATTATACTATTCAGTACTATTTTAAAACATGATTCTCTGCTTTAGGTGATAATCTTTGCTAATAGGATTGCTCAATTGGCAAAAGTTCTTTTTCGAGGATCCAATTATTAAAGAATTTCACTTTTTCATTAAAAATACTCATATCAAAAAACAATTTGACCACTAGAAAGAGCATGGAATCATGGAAGTAAAAAAGGGATTTCTTCAAAGCATGACGTTTGATATATGACCTATGGAAACCATTTCAAGCCCACTCAAATTTGTGAGCAAACATCACAAACATTCTGCATTTCACAAGAGTATCTTAGAATCATTTTTAAATCAAATGCAAACACACCTTTGTTTACTCAGATTCTGTGGTTATGTTTACAGTGTGCCTAGATATCATTTCATTAATCATAATTTGTTGTCTAAGCCACAATGGCTTGATTGGCAAATGATGCTAATCTATAAAATAAACCTTAGAAACCATAGCTCATATTAGATCTAAGAGCTTTTTAAAACACCAGTGTGCCTTGGACCAACTATATACATGGAGTTGTTGCATTAGTTCAGTGTTCTGATCATATGCCTTATTAGTAAGGAATTAGAAGAAGAGGAAGATTTCACGTCAAGCATCTTGCATAATAATCTATTGTGGTTTCAGTAAATACTAACAAACTTCAGCAGGTCTTTATATTCTAATTAACCATCCACTAACCTCGAAACCTTAGCTGTCAATCAATCCCATTAACCCAGTCCCGAGTTCCCTGCAGGATTAATTGCTATGGGACAAAGTTCACCAATTCTACACTGGTTACTTAAGTCATTGAATTCATATTTGAGCACTCATATCATCCATATATGATTTATCAAGCATTGGTATAGCATACCTATAAAACCAGCTGTTTCATTTATAAGCCATAGTTTCTTGTTTAATGCTATATATGAACTCCAATCCTTTTGGCTTCTTCAATCTTAGCTAAAATGCCATGATATTAGTACAATATACTATATGAGCCCATCTATTATCTAATCTCAAATTCATATAAATTCAAGATAATCCCATTCTATTTAAGTGTGACAATATTTTGTTGCATCACTGCTCACAAGCAGATTCTTTGTAATAAGCCAACCAATGGATAAGAACAGCTTTAATCAGATGGAAAGATCAGTTTCATCAATTTAAGCATGTTAAGACATCGACAAGAAACTTTATCAATAAGGTAATAAACCCACCTATATGGTCCAACTACTGTAATTGTTTTAATTATTCTAGAATAGGGTCTCCAAACTTGGCAACTTTAAGCTTGTGAATTTCAACTCCCAGAATGGCTGAGGAATTCTGGGAGTTGAAGTCCACAAGTCTTAAAATTGCCAGGTTTGGAGACTTCTGTTTTAGAAAGGTGAGAAAACTAAAGGTTAAACATTTATCTCTGTCAGCAGTGGAAGGAACACACTAAAGGTCAGATGAGCACAGCAGAACCTGCAGAGTGCTGTGGCATTGGGGTGGCTGACCAGAGTGAAACGGAGGTCCTCAGGTTGCACTGGGACTGTAGTAGAGGCCTGGAGGTGATGGCAACTGGCTGAGATTATAGCAATAGCAATAAACTATTAGACTTATATACTGCTTCACAGTGCTTTACAGTCCTCTTAAGCAATTTACAAAGTCAGCATATTGCCCCGACAATCTGGGTCCTCATTTTACTGATCTCGGAAGGATGGAAGTTTGAGTCAATCTTGAGCCACTCAGAATCGAACTTCTGGAGTGAGCAGTGAGTTAGCCTGCAGTACTGCATTCTAACCACTGTGTCACCACAGCTCTTCAGATTGCTGAAGACTCTGGACCACCGCCACTGAGAAATGCCCCTGTGCAGAGTATCCAAAAGGGCCGAGATGGGGGGAATAGGCGAGCTGAAGCTTCCCTATAGTCATAAATGTGTGCAGACTGCCAAGTCCTGGAATTTTGATCATGTGACCATGATAGTGTTGCAATGGCTATATCTTCAAATGTTAGTCGTCTCTTCATTCAGTGCCATTGTAACTTCAAACTATGGCTGAAAAATAGCCATCTCATAAGTGGTCTTTCATCCAAATTAAACTATAGTTAATATTTACCCAATTCAGAATGTAAAGCGAGAAACCCAAAGACTAGTATGA